TACCCAATATAAAGTAATCGTTGAAGGTCAGCGACATTTGGTCTTCGTAAATACTCGTCCCCAAACACTGCAATAATAGCTCGTACAAACTTCTTAACACATTTTATTGTCGTAGTTTCACCAATTCGTAAATATTCATCAACGGCATCTGCAGCTACACCATATGCTAACATACGTATCGCAGCAGTACACTTCTGAAGAGATGATAATTTTGATCTACCGATACAATCGATACCACTTTCAAAGTATCGATCGTGATTCTTCACACCTTCAACTATGCGAAGAAATAATGGTCTCCGCATCCGAAATCTACGTCGAAATATATCATCATTGTATGTCGGATTCTAAGAAAAGTAGTCTTCGTACAGACGTCGATCTCCATCTTCACGCTTTCTTTCTATATTTATTCTTTTCTTCTTTTTTACGTTTTGACGTAGAAGTTGCATCTGCTATTTGTTGTTTTTGTAAGGCAACATAGTRGGTAGTGAGTTTGGAGGAAGAATCATCAAGAAGCCATTCAACAAATTTTTCTGATGTTGAAGGCGAAGAAGATGAAGAATACTCACTCTCAGACTCAGACATTTTAAAAAACTAAAGTGTTATGGTTAATAAGGTCACGTATAATTGTATTTATATCAAATTCTTAGCGACTACTGTTCATCCGTGACTTCGGCTACTGTTCACCCCGTGACTTTCGCTACTGTTCACCCGTGACTTTTGCTACTGTTCACCCCGTGACTTTCGCACTGTTCACCCGTGACTTCGGCTACTGTTCACCCGTGACTTCGGCTACTGTTCACCCCTTGACTTCGGTTACCATTACCCTTATATATAGTGTAGGCTCGGTGTTTCAAAATACACCATCATATTCACTCTCATAATCTTCAATATCTCTGCATTTTCTACTTCTAATGGATCAATCAAAGCCCCAGTTCAACCCATTTTTCAATTTTTTCCAACCTTCATCCCATAATCCAAATGATGATGCACAAAACATAAATCCTCCTACTCCAATGTATCCTAATCCTAACTTTCCTATGATGAACCCTAACAATTTTCAAATGCCGATGTACCAAAATCCTAACTATCCACTAAATTTTCAAATGCCATTTTACCCAAATCCTACTACTCCTCCTTCTCAATTTCCAGAATTTTCTTCACAACCAAATCTCGTGCCGGAGCAAGCAAGCGGTTCTAAAAATGAAAAAACCGATGGACAATCAAAGATGACATATTGTTGTGTAGTGCTTGGCTCAACATAGGCAAAGATGCAATAGTTGGTACTGGTCAAAGTAGGATAAATTTTTGGCAGCGTATACTTGAATATTACGATGTGAATCGTGACACGATTTCTCAAACTAGTAGGAATCGTCAAGCACTTCAAAATCGTTGGAGTCGAATTAATCATGCCGTTTCAAAGTTTGTTGGTTGTTATGAACAGATCCTACACCGATGTGAAAGTTGGCTGAATGAAGAAGACAAAAAAAAAAAAAAAACAGGGCTTTAGAGTTATATAGCTCGTTAGAAGGTGGAAAATTCAACTTCTTGCATGCTTGGGTTGAATTGCGTGATCAAGAAAAATGGATCAGTCAATGAGAAAGACCTCTGGAGGTTGTTGATCTAGTAAAAGATAGGGGGTCAAAGAGGACAAAAAATGATGGCTCGGGCCAATATACCTCATCATCCTCAAATACAAACACGTCGACCCCCGAGCTAACGTCGATTGTATGATAAAAAAATCCGTCAACTTTTAGACGAATAAACATGTAATTTTATTTGTGTTTTTTTTATTAATTATGCGTGATATATTATTATATGTAATTTTATATATTGGTTAATTGTAATTTATGTAATTATAAAATTTAATGTTTAAATTAATTTAGTTATATTATATTTATATTTTTNAAAAATCCGTCAACTTTTAGACGAATAAACATGTAATTTTATTTGTGTTGTTTTGTTAGTCGTGCGTGTTTTATGTTAGTTATATGTAATTTTATATATTAGATTATAATTTTATGTAATTATAAAATTTAATGTTTAAATTAATTATGTAATTATAAAATTTAATGTTTAAATTAATTTAGTTATATTATATTTATATTTTTTTAAATAACATATATACATGCATAAAATATTTTCATATAAGAATAATTAATTTAATTAATAAATATATTAATATTATAAAAATTAATTTATTTAAATAATTAGAAGAAAGAAAAGAAATTGGAGAGGAGGTTGGTGGCCTACGTGACTTTCAATGTCAATTGTAAATTTTGCAATCGTTTTCCTATATGGCAGCAAGTATTCTGACAAAAGTTTATTTACAATTCAATTTGCAAGCCCCATGTGAGTGGTCTAACAAACATATTCTAAGTTAACTTTTTTTTTTAAAAGCGATTTTATAATTTATTATAATAAAATTAAAAAAATAAGATAGTTTTTTTTAGCATTGATTTGGCATTAGAAATTAAGACAAAAACAAACATATGGTTGTGATTTTGGGGTGGAGCCGACAAGTGTGGAGAAGTGGATCACGGCTTCGTAATTCTTTAACCATTTTTAATTTTTGCAAGTTTACAGTAAGATTGCAAGTAGGGAAGTCCAACTATTAGATTCCAGTTCTTTGGAATCACCACCACCATAAGGCCATACCCTTCTCTCCCTTTCTATCCCCAACTCGCCGGAAAATTCTTATATAATGCCGGAAGCAGAGGAAGATAACCGTTCAGCTAATTTTTTCGTAAGGGGGACTCCGGTGACGGAGGATTTACCCGTCATGATGACTATGGATCTCGACCTTGATGGTTCTTGGACTTTCGATCAGATCTTCTCCGCAGACCCTTCTCCGTCCTTTATTCTATCGGCAACCGAGCAAACTTACTCTCCTCTCTGGGCCTTTTCCGATGATAATAACAATAATCTCAACGACGCCGACGACAAACTCGCCGGAAATGCCACGTTGACCTCTTCAGGAGCTGCTCACCGACTTCAATCAGGTAAGTTTGTGCATTAATTTTGTGGTTTAAGTGAGTTTATGATATGGGTCTAGCTGAAAAACGTTGGATTTAGCTTGGATTTTAAGACTGTATCTAATAAGATTAATTCATAGGTAGAGTGTGTGACGATGCCGCTGGATTTCATCAATCTTAAAAACGGTAAATATGGAGGAATTTGACCATTAAATCCACATCCGGCGACAAAATAAGCACCAAATTAAGGAAATAAGTGTCCTTGCACCCAATCAAGTAGATACACACCAAATTGGAGCTTTGTTGGATGTATTTTCGTAAATAGTGTGCCAGCCTCACCACAAGGTGGTGCCTAATTGGTTTGAGCTTGTTTTCATTCGTCAAAAGTACAAAAGTACCCGGAGATCCCATGTTCAAATCCGAGGAGGAATAAAAATCCTCTTGTGGCCATGGAGGTTCAAATGCGGTGACTCTGGGCTATCTGCAAAGCAGATGGTTGCCCTGGGATTAATCGGCTCGCAATAGCGTGTTGGATATCCAGGTTAATAAAAAAAGAAGAAGTTGTGCCAGCCTTTTTTTTGTTTGGGCATACTATTCAAATATCATGAGCTACAGTAGAAATACTAGCAACTACTGTGGATGTGGGCAAAGTCATAAACCATGTAAATATAAGTTTGACTCGGATTTTTTCAACTTTGACCTCGTTTGGACCATTTCTGTTCAATATATGTTGGAACTTACTTTTTCTCGGGGCTCGTTTGGAGATTAATATGGGGTTCCGCGCTTTAAGAGTCGGGTTATTTTGAGATATTGAGTGTTAAGATAAAGAAAAAGATTGATTTGAATTAGAATGAGCAAAGGAATGTAGCCTTTTGCCATTTGTATATAGACCGTCCTATTCTTATGAAATCGGTTGACGTTTTTATTTTGTTGTCTTTCAATCTAGATACCGATAACCATGATCAAGTAACCAGAAAACCATCGAACAACGACGTGAAAAGGAGGATACCAATGCCGATTTTGGAGGTGAATCCATCAGAATATCAAGATGCAACATGTGTAATCAAGGAGAGGATGACAATGGCTCTTCGTTACTTCATAGAATTGGGTGAAAAACACGTTCTAGCTCAAGTCTGGGCACCAGTAAAGAACAGGGGTCGTTATGTGCTCACAACATGTGGTCAGCCCTTCGTTCTTGACCCAAACTGCACTGGCCTTCATCAATACAGAATGGCTTCTTTAATGTATGTGTTCTCTGTGGATGGTGAAACTGATGGAGTACTTGGTCTTCCTGCTCGTGTTTTCCGACATAAGCTTCCGGAATGGACTCCAAACGTGCAGTATTACTCAGATAAGGAGTACCAGCGGCTGAATCACGCTTTGAATTATAATGTTCGTGGATGCTTGGCTTTGCCGGTGTTTGAATCTTCTGGGCAGTCATGTGTTGGTGTGCTCGAATTGATATTGACTGCACAGAAAATAAACTATGCTCCAGAGGTTGATAAAGTCTGCAAAGCTCTCGAGGTTGGTTATGCCACTCGTTTTTTGATTGCCATAACATCATACGTTGGGAATATTATTTTGAGAATTCGCATCGTAGACAGAGGTCATTTAGTTATATGACATTAAACGAGTTTTCAATTAGGAACATGACATTTCTAAAAGAAGTTTTGAATTCAATAACCTTCAAATGACATGCCTCTGGTGTTAAACAACATGCACTCGTAAAATCTTGAAAAAAAACACACTAGAAGGTTAGTCTGTAAAAGCGACATCCATAGGAGGTCATTTAACAAAATAGCCTGCTTGGGTCCTTTGGTTGAACGACCTTAAATGAGTTTTCAGTCAGGCGCATGACCTTCTAATTTTTTTTATTCAACTCAATGACCTTCATCTGATCTGCTCCTCGTGTAAGAATAACCTGCTCCCGAGGGTCATCTTGCAAAACCACCTTCTGGAGAAGGTGAGCTAAATAGCCCTACCCGATGAACCCTAAAACATATTTCTTGAAAACAGATTAGTAGTTGAAGAGAGATGAACTTTCTTGTAGCTCGGCTGGCTCAAGTAGGCTAGCTTGTCTGACTATTCGAGTTAATCTCAAGACTGTTACGGCTTGGGCTTGGTAGCTCATGAAGCCTATAGAGCACTTGGTATATGATCCCATATGAACCAAAACCCATGTGCTGATGTTGAGCGAAGCCTGTAACCTAAGGCCGAACCCATGTTTCTCAAGCGTGGCTAACCAGGAGCCTAGCCAAAGACCAGCAAGCACTGGGATGAGGACGGGCATGGACTTGGGATTGGCTCGGGTTGGCTTGATATATATATATATATATATATATATATGCCCTTAAACAAGAACCCTTTGAGAAATATGTAATAAAGCTTCAGTTTTGTTGCAGGCTGTAAATTTGAAAAGTTCAGATATCCTGGATCCTCCAAATTCGCAGGCAAGCAGTAAGATAAAATAATAATTGATTCCTTTATTTCCCTTCTATTTCCTCCACATTTTCTCAATATGTATCTAGTTTTTCCTATAAAACAGATTTGTAATGAAAGTCGACAAAACGCCCTGGCTGAAATCCTGGAGATATTGGCGGTCGTCTGTGAGACTCATAATTTCCCGCTCGCTCAAACGTGGGTCCCGTGCAGGCACCGAAGTGTCCTAGCCTATGGTGGTGGATTCAAGAAGAGCTGCAGTAGCTTTGACGGAAGTTGTATGGGCCAAGTATGCATGTCAACAACCGATGTCGCCTTTTATGTTGTCGATGCTCATATGTGGAGATTTCGCGAAGCTTGTGCTGAACATCACCTGCAAAAGGGCCAAGGGGTGGCAGGAAGGGCGTTTGCGACTCGCAGTTCGTGTTTTTGTGAAAATATAACGCATTTTGGGAAAACCGAATACCCATTAGTCCATTATGCACGTATGTTTGGTTTAGTTGGATCTTTTGCGATCTGTCTGAGGAGTACTCATACAGGTGATGATGACTATATTTTGGAGTTCTTTCTTCCTCCTAATATGGTGAACGGTGAAGATCAGCAGACGATGTTGGGCTCACTGCTGACTTCAATGAAGCAGCATTTCCGAAGCCTTACGGTTGCTTGTGGTGAAGAAATTGGGGAGGATGGGAGACTGGTTGAGATTATTAAACCGTCTGCGAATGGTGAAGTTATTGATTCAGGTATTCAGTCCATTCGACTATCGGAATCTGTGATATCAAATGGAGGACCACTGGTTCGTGTTGATTCTCTGGACCGGCCTTTAAATGTGGAACCAAATGGATTAAATGGAACTTGTGGGAAATCGGAGACGCCTGAAACAACCAAGAAATCGGAGAGAAAACGAGGGAAAGCTGAGAAATCCATTAGCCTGGAGGTCCTTCAGCAACATTTTGCAGGAAGTCTTAAAGATGCTGCAAAGAATCTTGGCGGTATATTCTTGCACTTTTTCTCCTTGTTTCGATTAGATCAGCTAGACACAAATCATCAAATCTGTTTATATGTAGCCGTATCTCTATAACGGCTCTCTTAGAGAGAGATTCAAAGGGGTTCTACGTATCCTAACATTCTGAGATCAAGCAGACTAAGTTTAGTTTTAATTTTAACATGATAGGAAAGTTGTTTAGATTATTGAGATTGCTATTGGTTTTGCAGTTTGCCCAACTACGATGAAACGGATATGCAGGCAACATGGGATCTCAAGATGGCCTTCTCGTAAGATCAACAAGGTTAACCGCTCGCTTACGAAGCTAAAACGAGTGATTGAATCAGTACAAGGTGCTGAAGGAACATTCACCATTCCTTCTTTGGCAACCACCCCACTCCCTGTTGGTGTCGACTCCACGTCTTGGCCAACCGCTCCAAATGGTTCACCAACTAACCAACAAGGTTCACCTGGGTCCAGACCATACGACTCACCACGTCCGAAGAACGATCTGGGTCCAAACAACCAAACGTCCGGCAGCAGAGAAGCCAGCACCGGCAGCCCAACTTCACATAGGTCATGCCAAGGTAACCCTTTTGTTGAAATATAGATCCTCCTCATAAACTCATAATGCAACCGTTTCTCATAATCATAAATGTGTCGGAATAGCAGAAAGTCAACCATTTGAAGTCAAAGCACCGAATCATGCTGCCGAGTTTTCCGTATCCGATGCTTTTCTAACTGCACAAACCGAAGAACCCTTTAGAGGAATGCTAATTGAGGACGCCGGAAGCTCACACGATCTAACGAATCTTTGTCCATTCACCGAGCCTCTTGAAAAGGTACAAGAACTTACTCCTAAGGTACAACCTTTCACAGCCAGGGCAGAAATGAAAACAATAACGATAAAGGCGAGTTACAGAGAAGATATAATTAGGTTTCGGGTGGCTGCAAATTCGGGTATAGTTACTTTGAAAGAAGAAGTTGCAAAAAGGCTGAAGTTAGATGTTGGCACGTTCGATATAAAGTATCTTGACGATGATCACGAATGGGTTCTAATAGTTTGTGATGCAGATTTGCAAGAATGCGTGGAGTTGTCGGTATCATCGGGGTGTAACATAATCCGGCTGTTAGTTCATGATCTGTCGACAAATCTTGGAAGCTCTTGTGAGAGTTCAGGTTAATTACGAATAGATACACTTCATTTGCACAAACGAGTTGATCAACATTTCGACCCATTTGAAACAATCGAGAAAAGAAAGTTCCATTCAGTGGAAAATTGCAGAAAGAACATTTACGTTGGCCGAAAACAGTAAAAAAGAAAGCGTCTGTGGCGTTTTAACTGCATTTTCGGTCGACCGTAATGTTCTTTTTTGCAAATTTTATGATATGTTAGTTTTTTTTAAAGGAAGTGTTTGAAATAGTGTTTGAGCAAATAGATTAGTGTTGGGAGTGTTAGGGTTAGGGTTAGGATGAGGTTGAGGGTTAAGTTGTAGATTTATGGGGTCATAGCAACAGGACCAGATTTTAGGGAGGAATTTTCCCATATTCTTTCTTGTATAAGATGTTTAAAAATGTGTTAATTGTATATTGCTTTGTTCTTTGTTTTCTTTTTCTTTCAATTCCACCTCAAAACTTTATTTTTTTTTACTTTGGCCACCAAATATTATCATTGCATTCTTTTGGTTTTGGTAATCAATTTTCTTACTCATGATTATATTCATGTTGGTCATAATTAACTTGTATTGCTTATATATATATATATATATATATAGAGAGAGAGAGAGAGAGAGAGAGAGAGAGAGAGGGGTTCCAACATATATACCGAAGAAATAGTTGAAGTCTAGCCTCCGTTGGAAGGGATGTTTGGAGTCTCACATCGGCAAGATTTATATTGGAACCTCATTTTTCTCCTCAAAGGCTTTTTTTAAAAGTCTTAAACTTAAAACAAAGAAAAATGTCGTTATATGACAAAGTAACATATGAAATTCTCAGTTCACTTAAATAGAGTCATTCTTCTAACATCCTTTTAAACAAAATATTCAGTCGGTTCTTCATAATCATTTTTCTCCACATTCATTTTCAGTTGCTATCAACACTAACCCATTAAGTTTGTCTTGTGTCATTAGAGTGCAAATAGGACTTTAACAACTTCAACTTTGATAAACAGATTTCTAAAGTGTGGCTATGTTACACAAAGTCAAATTAAGACTGAGAAGCATAAGAAGAATAAAATGCTCTATGATTTATATTTAAGAGTTTATGTTACACTCACTTATGTTTTCCTTTCATTTTTGAACCATTATCATAACCTTGTCTTCCGTACATTATCTATATCTAGTACAAGACACTTTAATTCAGCTTGTAAAACATCAAACAAAGCTTGGTGTGTGGTATCATCTACCTCCAAAAATCCTAGAAATGATTCCTCAATAGTAACAGTAAATGACATCTACATACCTTAATATTAAAAGTATTTGTTCTTGATAACTTATATCATGAGTGCAATCAAATGAATTTTATTAACAAGGTAATATATATATGTATATCATCACTTGTAGTACGTTGAACATCATCTAGAGGCTAGACTCAAGGCTGCCCTTATCATCTAGAGGCAAGGCCAACCAGAGCTCCTCTGGTCTGGTCCTTGACAACTCTAGACAAGGAACTAGGTCCGAGCACCATGCAGAGCCTCTGACTCGTCTATATAAAGCTCTACATGAACGTATTTTTGGTGCGTCTTTGATCTCCCTCTGGTCCTTATGATCAATTTTTCACTACAATGCAAGGGATGCAATCCCTTAACTCTCACCAGGGTCATACTCGTCTCATAATAAGTGTGCACTCCGCACCTCTTGCCCTGTGTTAGAACAGAGTATAAGACCCTCTTAAAACTCAATGTTATTTCCAATTACACTTAAATGGCCCGGTAACACTAAAATCACCAACAAAAAACAAATTCAACAAACCACTCAAAATTGGGAAACAACTAAATCATTAGCTTTACTGCAAAATAAACAAAATCAAAATAAGTTAATCACTTAACGGAACACAATTGAATAAGCCCAAGTACGACCTTGGGTTAAAAGCTACTATCTATGTATCTCTTTACTCACTGATGTAGATCTGCTTTGACCTCATCTATATCTCCATCACAGTGGAAAAAATAAGCAGCAAAGAACATAGCTTAACGTTACCAATTTTAACAATGTTTATATAACATAAAAATTAAAATTATACTCATTTTGCTTCATAGATAATAAAAAATGTGTTAAATAATTTGAATAAAATATTTAATTTAATTATTAAATATATTTAAAAAAATTATTAATTAATTAGGATAACTTGGTACGAGGGATGCCCAACATAAGCAAAATAAAAGAGGTCTGTGAAGCATGCACCCTAGGGAAGCATTCGAGAGAAGCCTTCCCACACGACAAGGCTTGGAGGGTATCCAAAGTCTTAGGGGTCGTTTACTAAACGCTTACTCCGTAAGTACTTACCAAGTAATTTTTCTCACCGGATAAACATGGCAAATCACAGTGAAAGTACCTCTTCATCAACATCTAACTCACCTCCAAAAAACTTCAGAAACTTGAGAGATCTTTATGAAAGCACACAATCGTGAGTTTGATGATGTCGCAAATTATGCACTCTTTGCAGATGCAGACCCTGTTTTATTTTGAAGAAGCGTGCATGGATGATAAATGGAAACGGGCAATGGATGAAAAAATGATAGCTATAATGATAAACGATAAAACATTACTAAAAGGATTGTTCGTTAATTGGACATGCCAAGGGCCATCCCTGGGGAGAGCGGGGCGAACGCCTACCCAGGGCCCACAAATATTAGAAGCCTATTTTTTAATATATAGTGGTAGTCAAAACAAATTTAGTATATAAAATAGACCCAAAATCTTTTATTATATATAATAAGAGTCGAAAAAAATTTAGTAGATAATAAAGGCCAAAGAATATATTAATTAATTACATTGGAGAAAAAAAGAAGTTAAATGATCATTTATTATATGTTATTGTTTATTGCTTCTTTAAGTTTATCTAATACCAAGGTCCAGCAGTATTGACTATTGTTTGAATTCTTTATCTTTTATCATGATTTCACAACAAATCACAAAATCCTAATTAAGTACTCAATCAACCATTTATTGAGCCTGCAGATCATGGGTTTCACTCATTATTTGCTTTTATTGGATCTCAATGAATCATATTTTTTTTTTTTCACATTCTCAATAATCCCCATGGCCTTCTTACTCATAGAACCCTGATAATATTCAATATCATTCATTTTTATTGACTCTCTCGATTACTTCCTCCATATAAGTTTTCTTTTTGTATCAGAATAACACATATTTCTTGTTATGAACTAAAATAATTTGTAGCTTAAAAAAATATTACCATCCATAGTAGATGGTCAAACTCGTTCATATCTATATTTTATGATTTCAAAACCACCATTGAATTTTCTTACATTCTTGACTGTTAATTATCTAACAAAAGGGGTATTTGAATTATAAGTAGCCTTATATATATATGTAATAAACAAGAATAAAATTTTATTTCCTCCATGAATTATTTGCAAATTTTTGTATTCAATCTTTTTAATAATAAAAACCATTTATTGAATAATGTTTTGATACTTATATCCAAGACCCTTATTTTTATATACGCTCCGGACCTATAAAATATGAGACAAAGGTCTATGCCATTAAAGGTTTGTTAGTATGAGCATAAATACAAGCTCAATTGCTACATATTAAACATGCATATGATATTTGCCTTAACTCTTATTACTTGGAATATATATATATATATATATATATATATATATATATATATATATGGGCCTAATCAAATGAGAACTAATTAGTTTGTGGTAACTGTGAGAACCAATATTAACCACAAATCAATAGATAAGTTAGGAAATTTATAATTTTGGCAATTTTGAATTAAAATATTAATGCAATGATATTTTTGGTATTTTAAAACTCCCCCCTCCTCTCTTCTCTCTCCGGCCACTGTCCTCCGGTTATACTACAATGGTATCACAATGTATCATATATGTGCTTGGGTATCACATTGATGTCGTTTGTGTGGTCGATCGAAGATGTAACACAGTGGTATCACTATGCATCTTATATATGATTAGGTATCACAATGTATCTTTTGTTTAACAGAGTCAATATTTTTAGGTATCACAGTGGTATCATAATGGTATCACCGGAGAACGGTGGCCGGAGAGAGAAGAGAGGAGAGAGGAGAGTTTTAAAATACCAAAAATATCCTTGCATTAATATTTTAATTTAAAATACCAAAAATATCCTTACATTAAGATTTTAATTTAAAATTACCAAATTTATAAATTTCCTAATTTATCTATTGATTTGTGGTTAATATTGGTTCTCACAGTTACCACAAACAACTCAGTTCTCCCTTGAATAGGCCCTTATATATATATATATATATATATATATATATATATATAGGAAGTAAACGAAGTCTTTCCTTCCTAAATCCACTCCAGTTTCCCGAGGCGTTGGAAATCCAGACCGGCTCAGAGAATCACTGGTGCTATCGTCTAGTCCTCGATAAAGAGAAATATGACCAAGAGTGGTTCAAATATATATATAAAGAATTTCTTTTTTTATACTTCTTACTATTATAATAGTGTCCATAAATCTCATAATAGGTCCCCAAAGATTCATGGTGAATTTCGATGACAAAACTTCGAATCATTTTTTCTCGAGCCGTACGAAGATATATATATATATATATATATATATATATAGAGAGAGAGAGAGAGAGAGACTTGGGATCATGTGAGACCAACAGTTTTTCGTGAGACCTGTAAGACCGATTCTCAACCCTTGGATTAGATTTACAATCACCAGATCTGAACATTCATAAACGCCACGAGACTTCTCAATAATTACAAAAATGCCACCGTGCAACTTTAGACCATTAGATCATTAGTTTATAAAGTTGATCAATGAATATAAATTGGTCTTACGGGTCTCACGAAAAACCCTTGGTCTCACGTGAACCCAACCCTATATATATATATATATATATATATATATGCAATATTAAATTTTAAAATCATCATATATATGTATATATATTTATAATTTAATATTATATATATACATATATATACTAGAAGGGTACTCACACAATATAGCGAGATACATTTTGATTTTAGTGTTTCGTTTTTCCTTGTCTTAGTCGATGTTATAATACAGTTTTATGTGTTTATGAGAAAACAATAATGTTTTTATTTATGAATAAAATATAAATATGAAGATATCATAAAAAATTAAAAAAATATATTGATATTAGTACCATACTAACTATTTAAAATTTCTCGATTTGTGTATTTCTTTAATTCATTTTTTTATTTTTGGTTAATATAATATATTTTTTTATAAAATTAATAATTAAGTATTTTGTTAGAACTCAATTATTATCCTAATTATATTTTAGTTTTTTTATATTTAAAATGATATGTTTATTCTCTATTTGATTATGTTTATCTACACAAATTCAAACATGAAGCTTTAATAAGTTGTACTTAAGCACAATTTACTTG